AGGGAGAAAACTATATGCCAGATTATTCTGAATCTGCTGCCTAAGGCATCTGCTCACATTTTAAGTATAAACCAGATACATATTAGATGTGGAAAGGCCACAGGCAGGAAGCTCTGTCCTCTCAGTTTATGGATCATTCTTAAAGAAAACAAGGAAGTAAAAACTGTGCCTAAGCAGGTAAAGAAGCCAATTACTATATAAAAATAAATTCTTAGTTACACAAGTGTATAACTAAAGAAAACTAGCCCTACAGCTGTACAGATACTGTGATATTTACTGATACCTCAGCATGCTAATAGAAAACAAGAAATCCTGGATTAGATATGGACATAGTTCACAAAAATCTGAAATGGGCATCCTTTTGTTCTTTTTATTTTCTTTATCATCTTACTGAAACTTTCAGAGTTGAGAGCTGTGTCAACACTTTTTTTTTTGGTTTAAGGTTCTTTAAGGTGCTGACAGAAGCATGTCACCTCTGTGTCTCCACTCAACATTTCCTTGTCTAGCACCTGGTTTATGGGCTTAGGGAACAGGTTAGAGATGTGGTTGGTTTTTAGCTGATTTGGTGGCCTGGTTCCCTTTGTGTGACCCCAACACTTCTTGGCTCATTCTGAGATCTACTCTTCTTAGAACTCACTTTGTTTCAATGGGCAAAGTGCATCAGGATATATAAAAATTGTCTTTTCTCCAACTTGTATCTTTGCCAGTATGGAATAAATTTAGCTGTTGGTGAAGTGCCATATTACCCCAGAACCATTCCTAGAGAGCCAGAGCTGTTGGCTTCCAGGCGGTTGGTCTTGTACGGCTGAAACACAGTGAAGGACAGGACTCATTTGGTCATGCATGCAGCTGTGTAAGTATGTGCACTGGTGCATCAGGCACATGGCAGGTAGTAGCTAAGGAGTCTGAAAGTCCTAGTTAGCAGATCTGAGAGTAAGCAGGTCTGAAGTTCAGGTTCTGAAACAGAAAATCACAGCTTGGAAGTTGGTATGGAATCAGAATATGGGCTGAGAAACTGTTAAATAAGGAAAATCTTTGTGTCATTTCCAGCATATGGTAAACTGTAAGAAGTCACTTGAAATGTCCCCAGGATTTTTAACTAAGTTGCTTCCCATGCAGCAACACTCTCACTGTGCTGGTCTCTGGGAGATGGTACCTGATATAAATGACTCTTTCTCATCTTCAGGGAGCTGCCTGCCACTATTCAGGAATGCTGCAGCTAAAGTGCTAATTAACCAGAAACAAAACAAGGGATCAGTAAAATATCTGCCCATTGTTACTTTGATAATTTCACATTCCTACTTCATCCCTCAGTCTTCCCTAAATCTGCTTTTTATTCTCATCAAGGGAATAATAATTTTGGCTGCTATTGGCATTCATTGATTGACATGCTCTGGCAAGTGTAGTACTGGACTTTTCTTCATGTGCCAGATGCACTATTCGCATAGCAGGACCCACTGCTTGAGTTTTGGCCTAGTTAGTATTGGTATTTTGTTTTGTTTTAATTTCAGTGAGTGCCGTCACCTTAATATAAATATCATCTTTAAAAACCTGATCATTCAATTATCAAAACTGCAGTTAGACAGAAGGAGTTTGACTAACAACTCACACTAGTCCTGCTAACAGCTGTCCATAAAATCATAGAATAGCTCGAGTTGGAAGGGATCCATAAGGATCACTGAGCCCAGCTGCCTGATCCTTGCAGGACTACCTAAAACTAAACCATATGACTAAGAGCATCATCCAGATGTTCCTTGAACTCTGACAGGCTCGGCTTGGTGCTGTCACCACTTCCCTGGGGACCCTGTTCCAGTGACTGATCACCCTCTCAGTGAAGAACCTTTTCCTAATGTCCAACCCGAACTCCCCCTGACACAGTGTCATTCCCCTTCCTCGTGTCTTATTGCTGGTCACCAGAGAGGAGGTCAGCACCTCCCTGTCCACTGCCCCCCTTGAGGAGGTTGTAGACTACAGTGAGGTCACCCCTCAGCCTTCTCTCCTCCAAGCAGAACAGGACAACTAACCTCAGCTACTCTTCATAAGTCTTGCCCCCGAAATACTCTACCAGTGCCAAAGTCATGCTCACTTTGTTGAGGTATCCTAAACTTACACATCCATAAAGTTAATGGCATCCAGTGCCACTCACCCACTCCGTCTTCATGCCAATACCAGTTCAGCAATATGTACCTTTTGGATGACACTTATTAAACTGTTCTTGGTTGCAGGAACAGTCACAGAGGACAGGCATTCATGACAAACTTTTCCTCACTCCTGTGTCATGCACTTTCTGAAGATCTAGGATGCTCTTTTCTTTCTGTGTGACCTCATGCCAAATATATTTTGGGGCATTAATGCCCTGTGGTTTAATTAGTATGCCTGCTTCTCTGTCTCCCTGGGGCTGGGCTGAGGAGTGACCTGACAGGGCAGTGTGTCAGATCTGGGAAATTAATTCCCAGCTGTTTCCTCCCCCATCAGTCATCAGCTGCCTGATGCCCTCAGACCTGATAATTATACAGGCAGTTCAGATAGGACTTGCTAATGAAGGACCACGGAGTCTTTGTTCTTATTGCTGGCTGCTTTGAGGCTGGGTCTGCTTCTCCTAAACTCAGCTGCTGTGAAGTTAGACATTCAACCCAAATTGAAGTTATTGCTTTCTGCCTCAGTGTTCAACCGGGAGAGAGGGAGAGAATCTGATCTCTCCACAATGACTCATCCCATCCTAAACAAGACATCTAAAATATGCAGATATTAAGCTGATAATTCCAGAAGTTAATTTATCTTTGGTATTACCAGTGTATAGCTTTATTTTTTGCCATCTAAAGCTAGCTCCCATTAATCCCTACTTGCCTGGGAAAATGTGCATCTTCTTTCTCGCATAGCTGCCTGCTCCTGGTAAAGACTCACTGTAAATATTTCCCAAGGAAGGGACAAAAAGGGTAGTCACAGTTGGAAGATTGTTATGAGACCTACAGCTCTGGTGTCTGCTTTTTGCTGCTTGGGTGACAAGGTGGTGAGAATTGCACCACCACCATTGGAGGTATGAACTAAGGAAACAAATGAGAACTGCTCTAGACTCCCCCACAACATTACCTAACTTTGTGAGGAGGCTGTGAAATGTAGTGCTTTATTAACTTTTATGTCATATTAAAGCATTGGTATTTGACCTTCCATATAAAAGGACTTATATTTTAAATAGTTATACAGTTGTGAACAGCTATTTGATAGTAGCGGGAGGCTACGAGAATGCAGTGCTGTGCTGGTTACACGTGATGGCCCCATGCTCACCTTCGTGATGGCAAGAGCAACTCACAACATAAGCCCTGAAGACCTGCAGTAAAGGCATGGAAGCAGAAAAGGCCCACAGTTAGGGTGGCATAGTGTTTTACCACATTTTTTATTGGCACAAACACTTCCCATAATAACGGCATGAATCAACCATCTGAGCCAATGCTTAGTAGTCGTGAGTAAGGCGGGACTGTTAAGATTAAAATGATCTACAGTTTTATTTTGTTTGAAATGATGTGGAGGTGGGTGAGAAGGTGTTGGTGAGGGGGAACAACATGCAATCCTGAGAAACTGTTTCAAGAAAGAAAAGGACCTTTTAGAAAAGTAGCATATTGTGGCTTTATTTTCGCCTGTACAGCTGTATCAGACCACCTTCTCAAGTATTTGCTGAGTGTAATTGTGTTTATTTCCAAAGAGTGACAAAGGCTGATGAGCTCGGGTGTGTTCAGCTGTGAGAGGAGGTGGGTTTGCTGCCCTGCTGCCCACCCCACCACAGGGCTGGAGGTGATGCGCTACAGGGCATGGGGCAGCCTCACCCACCCTCACAGCCAGCTCTCACCCACGTACCTGCCTGCCCTGTCACCCTCGCAACAGCAATGTCAGCACGAAGAGAGAAGAGGGACCTGCTGGGACATTAGGGGTTGAACATGTCAGAAATTTGGGTCTGTTCCCCCAGCACCTAACTTTCAGACACAGCACAACAAACAGAGTTTCCTTCCTCACAGTTCCTACCAGTGCTTTGCCCAAAATACACTTGCTTGCTTTCTTGGTGGTTTTATCTCATGACAGTACCGCAGTACTTTTCTTCTGCTCATGTCTGGAATCAAATACACACATTTTGCTGTGCAAACTGCTAGCCAGCCTCTCAGTCTTCAGTAAATTTCCAAGGCAGAGGTACCCAACTTAGTGGCGGTGCTCGTGTTTCGCTCAGTCACCGCTTCCCATGCTGATGCTGCCTCTGAGGAGTCAGGTAGAGAGAAAAGAGTCCGCTCCCACCATCTCCATCCCCACCTCCACCTCCATCCCCTCACCGAGCTGCTGAGATGTTGGAGCACTGCTTGCTCTCTGCTGGAGAGGCTGCCGGAGCCCCAGCAGCCGCCACTGCCAGCTGGATACTCTATCCTCATTCGTGCACAGCCCATAAAAAAAAAAGGCAGTTAATATTAGGTGGTATCTCAGGACAGGAGGGAAGCTTATAAAATTATTATTTTTACAGTCCAATCTGTTTAATATTATAGTCCAGCAGCTGAAGCCTAAGGCTACAGCTTTCTTAGTGAATTAAGGAGTGGCAGGAACTGTACCTGAGCAGAGACTACCACTGTCATTGCGCTGGGGAGTCCGGGCAGTGCCCTCCTGGCACCCCTGGGAACAGGATGGGCCTTCGATCTACAACCAACCCCAACAGCTGCCTTGAGTGCGGCCACCCTGTGTCAAACGCTGGAATTCTAACCCGATGGGACGGCCGCTCCACACCAGCCGGTGGGGACGTGTGGGGTGCTGGTTCTGCCGGAGCTGGAGCACACGTGGCTTAGAGCCAGCTCCAGCCCCGGAGCCAAGCACACATGGCCCAAAAACCTCTCGCAGTGAACGCGTTATCTTAAAAATGGCATTTCGTTCGAAGCACTGTTACGAGAAGAAAAGCTTGCTTGTTCTTCAGCTGCGTAAGCTGTTTGCCACAAACTCCACCACAAGTGAAGAGAGAAGCCGCACACAAGTTCTGTAAAGAAAATGTTTTATTTAAAGTGTTAAATACCATCACCAGAATGAGTTTGATTTACATTAGTTGGTGTTCATTACAGGCCTAATCTGCCTTTCCCCCCCCCCAACTGTAATTCCTTTTAACTTTTTAAAACGTACTATGTACAAGACAGCAGTGATCACTGGAATAGTGCTATTTACATGACTAAACCATAAGTAGAGTTGCAGACGTGTGAAAATTAAAAAAAATACATTAATATTTTTAAAATAAATACTGCATAATGACAACTATGTACAAACCTTCCATGCGTCATGTCCTTGATTTTAAAATTTGAAATAATTTATATAGGACTATGCATACAAGAATGTGTGAGCACATCTCACAGTATCAGGAAAATGGTTATGTATTTTTGTTTAATATCATAGGGGATATCGTAGACTGCATGTTATTAGTATTTATTTGCTGCTGGTAGACAGGTGTCTAAATTATTTCAATAAATATAATTTTACCAGTCTGTCCATTAACTTAACAATAATCCTTTATATAAACTCTGAAGACAAGACACAATCTTGATTTATATGATATTGCACAAAGTAAAAGGCATTTTAAGTGATAGTTATTACTTTTGCCCTCTTATGAGGCATGTACAATTTCTTAATGGGAAACTTCAACAGATTTTCAAATAAAATCATAATAATTCTGTGTGGCCTTAAAGGTAAATGTAACGCGTATTTCAAAAATTATTGCAAGGTTTCAATATTAAACTTTAAATAGTTATTAAAGGCATACAAAGACCCAGAAAAAAAAAGGATATTTTGTTATTAAATGTCAACCAGTTACATTTCCTTTAAATAATGTAATTTAGTGAGAAGCTTGAACTTGCAGCACCACCCAACGGTAGTTACTGTCTGCTACAAATAACAGGTGTTTGAAGATCCCTTGACTGGAGTGAGGGTCCTGGTAATGGTGTCAAATAGCTGTCAGAGTGGTACTGATAAGCTTTCTTTAAGGCTATTTTGCAAACCAAAGACTGGTATTTTCCAGACTGATATTACCTAATTATGTCTTTTGCAACACAAATGTAGTTTATGAAAATTGAACTTTACAGCAGAGGAACTGTAAGAATTAGTAACCTTTGTTGCTTTTGTAATCTCAAAACTGTAGCAATTAATTTGGTTTAGTGCAAATAAATGTGTTTAAATTTATTTCCTAAAAATCAACCAGGTACTTAATTTTTCCTCTTTCCAAAAACCTTCAAGAAATGATAGTTCAATCTTTGAATGAAAGATGCTGGTGCTGAAAACAAATTTATTGAAAGACATCTTACAATGGCCACATGATTCCAGTATTTTGCTGTAGAATTCAATTTGAATGTGAGAAAAAATGAAAATAAGTTACCATGCACTGTACAATAAATTGCAAAAAATTCAAATATCTTCTTTATCAAATACATGCTGAATTACATTGATGTACTCCCAAGCCATGTTGCAAAATCCTTTTCAACATGCTTGAAAAAAAGTAAGTTCTTAAACAATATTTTTCTCAAATAATTCAGAAATGCAGAACAATCTGCAACCCTGAACCAAATATGGGGCATAAGAGAGTAATAAGTCAAAAGGTAGCCATTTTAGAATATGATGATCATCCTGGGAGGTGGAGGGGAAAAAGAGCAAAAGGAAGAAGGGAGATTGGGAGGAGAGATAGAGAAAGGAGGTGGTAAAACACGTGTACAATTTGCACATTATGTTGAACTTTACAAGGCTCGTACCTTTTACATTTAAATAAATTTAATATATTACACTTATTTGTTGTCACATAAACAGAATTTTAGATATTTGCTAGAAATTATTTTTAATTTTTAATATACGTCTGCAAAAATACAGACCATGACTGGTTTAAAGAATGATAAACGTGGTGTGTCTTTGTATCACCCTGTTGCATTCTCGTCCCTTTAAAACCATGCACTAGTGAAATTTATTTTTAAAAATAATATAAATTGTTGAAAATGGCTGATTTATTCTTTTTTTTTTTTTTTTTGCAAGTTGCAGCCCCAAGAAAATAATTTAAGTGTTCAGCTAAATCTGTGTCCATGCAAAAAAGTTTCTTTAATTTCATACAGTACAGTATATCCACAGAATTTTGTTTTTCAGAGAGTCCATCACATCTGGGGTTTCACTGTATCTATAGCTGGAGGTATGAAGCCTGCCACTTTAAGTCTTGAACTTTTTCAGTATGAAGAGTTTTTGGATGTCAAGCAACTGTTTCAAACAACAGTTGACTTTTCTAGCATCCTTATATTCTTCTTTTCTTCCAATGTCTGCTAATCCACTGACTTGTAACATGGCTTCATGGGAAGGTAATTCCATTTCTGTGGCATAATGAAGCTTAAGGAGGGGAGGGCAGATAAATAAAGAAACGGGAGCAACGAAACAGATATGCCATTGAAAAGGACTTTTGTTGCATGAAACAGATTGATTCTTTAAGTTTAGTCCATGGCTTTGGATTGGACCAAAACTGAGTGTCCCTGAACTCCAAACCTATCAGTTCTTCATGACTTCAGTCCTTCACCTGAGGGCCTTCCGTAGGGCACAATGTGTGCAACTTCCTTGAGAACACAGGATCGCGTTGCAGCCCTAGAAACAGGCTCAGAAGACACAACATTAAGCATGCAGTGTTACCAGGGTTTGCGACCTGTAATTTTATTTTTTTGTAACGCTGGTTGCTATGACAACAGTTTCACAGCTGCTATGAGCGAGCATACGAAGGTCCTGTTGAACTTTCAAGAGATGATTGGGAAGCTCTTCTAGTGAGAGGAGCTAAAGTTGGGTCTACTAGGGAAGAAGGAGGGAAGAGTTTGAACCACCCAATCACCATGTTGGACAGGTCCAGTTCATCTAAAAGTATCTGTGCCACTCCCATAAAGGATTTATGATCCATACGTCCATAGTCTCCCCAAACAATTATCTGTTAGCAAAGGAAACACAAGAAAATAGAAAAATTTCAGCAAAAATGATGAGAGCTTCAATCTGACTCATCAAATCTCTCTGCAAATTTAATTATAGTAAGGAATGAAATATTTGACTGCTGACATAGTGTCTTAGTTTGGGCTGAAATAGAGTTAATATTCCTTTTCAGGGACTAGATGAGTGCTGTGTTTTGGATTTAGCTTTGGGTTTGGTATGGGAAAAATCCTGATAGCACACTGATGTTTTCAGCTGCTACCGAGACTTCAAGGACTCTCCGACTCCCCATGTCCTGCCCGTGCGCGAGGGCACAGGGAGGGAGCACGGCCAGAGCACCAGACCCAAACTGGCCAATGAAATATTCCATATCATGGAACGTCATGCTCACTATATAAAGAAGGGGTGGTTGGGAAGGAGGGCTCTTCTCTGGGATTGCGATTGTGGGATCTTGGTATCTCGGGGTCACTGGCCGGGAACGGGCTGGATATTGGTTGGCGGGTGGTGAGCAATTACGCTGTACATTGCCTGCTTATATATTTCTTTTTGTTTTCCCCCTATCATCATTATTGTTCTCGTTTTATTGCCATTATTAAACTGTTCTTATCTCAGCCTGCGAGTCTCCCTTCACCCCTCTAATCCCCTCCCCCATTCCCAGGTGGGGAGGGGGAAGGGAGGGTGACCAGCTGCGGTGGTTGGTTGCCGATCAGGCCCAAACCACAACACATAGTTCTGTGTATACTAATCATGACGCAGTGAGACAAATGACCTGGGCAATAACAGGGCAGTTTAGTATCCATGATAGTAAAGAAAGCCCAGGGAGAGAAGGAGCTCATACATATAGCAGAAGGAAAATAATGTACAACTAATTTTTGCTCAGCGCGTTCTACTTGTATCAACAGTTATTACCGTAGTATTTATTTGCTCAACAAGTATTTGAAATAGCATAATTTGCCAAATGAATCATGAAAGGAAGTTTGAAACTCATTCAGTGAAAACTGTACAGGTGACATTTTCAGATTCAGAAGAATATTGCTGCCAGTTACCTGTAAAACTTTTCCTTGGGGGCTTTCTTCAAATGATAGAAGTTGCTGATAAAGTGGTTCCAGCGTTTTTCTTGCTACCTTTGTTTTCTTTTTGGCTATGCAGACTCCATTTTCTAATAGATACACCTTTACATATGGTGCTTAGAATAAAGAAAATAAAGAACAATAAGTAAAGAGGTTGTCCAGATTTTTTTGCATAACAGATGCACTGTTCTATCACCTTATGAGAAAATCTGCTTTTTACTGGATATATAAGTTATATAAACAAATCTCCGCAAGCACTTTTAACATTTATTCACATGCAAAGCTTCTATGCATTTTCTTTACTTTTCTCCCTGGTATATTTTTTTCTTTTTATGTGTCTCTTTTGTCATGAAACAATTCAGATTTTGACCTGGAAAAAAAACAGATATTCCTGTATATAGTATCTCTATATTGTACAGTATACAAAATAGGCCTGTTAAGTAAATTAATGACTTGCATTGACTTTGGTGAGATCTGGATCAATGCTCCAAATTGTTAATAATTTAAAATTATCTACAAGGTGAAAATCAGTGAAGAAAAGACTTTGACACAATTTCTATTTTGGCAGAAGAGCTTGCTAAAAATATCATTATATTGTCCTTTTCACATAGTGTTATAGGACATCAAATTATAAAATAAGGAATAAGTATCAAATACTGGTCTACTTTTCAGCAGGTACCTATTCCACACCTCTTGAGTCCTTCTTCATCCCTAAGATTCCTATTTTCAATCTTCAGTATATACCTTCCTTTCTACTGTATAACCAAGGATGCGTTTACTATTTCTAAAATACATTTGTGTTTCCTGGTAGCCCAGCTACAAGTCTGATTTCTTGTTTTCCCTCCTGAAGTAGGGTTGACTTTTTGTACACCATTTCAATACATTATGCATTTCAGTGTACAATCCTATTATCTACTGATATGTGAATTTGCTAAGAGTTTGCCTAAGTTGAACAGTAAAGACTCAGAAGTTGGAGGTTTGTTGGGATTTTTTTGGATAAAGCTCTATTCTTGTTGCTAATATTTTTCTTCCTTACCTGGCAGTGTCTTTGAACCTGGTTTTACAACAAGGCCACGGGCTCGGATTATTTCTACTTCCAGTTGTCCTTTCTTGTCCATCATTCCCACCTGGATATCTCCTACACAGCAAAAAGAAATCCTGGCATTGTAATTCAGAAATACCTAAATATATGAAAAGCTATGGGAATTTCTAGGACGAATACCTGATGACTTGTATCATCTGCATTCCACCAATAAGCATGATCTGAATTTTAACACTACTAGGTAATTTAATACTTATTCTCTTTACTGATATTTATGCTAGTAAACAATTTTAAAACCCTGCAATAATATCTTGTCTCTCATTTTCCATGCCCCTATCACTTCAAACTTTTCTTTTTGTCTTAAGAATTTCAGATTAAAAAAAAAAAGAAGCAAGGGAAATAGTACAAAGCATCTCTGTAAAACTGATTGCAATCACTTCACCATGGCTCTAGTTTAAGACAAGGTATGAAAAGATAACTTGTAAATATAAAAAAGTCTGTAAGCACAATAATAGCAAATACTTTGTACCTAAATTCCCAGTTTTATTCAATACTATCCAAGAGATTTAGAGAAATGATTGGTCTCATTAGCCACATTTTAAAGATAGAAGAATGAAGAAGAGATAAAAGACTGAATTTTTCAAAGGAGTTTTCTACTTTTGAGTGTCCTATTGAGCATCCACAATTATGTTCAACTTTAGGCAAGGTTATAGTTTTGGTCTTAAGTGAGTTGCTCAAAACCACATGGGAAACCTGTATTTAAAGACTCAGAATCTAGATAATTTCTATGTTCTAATTACCAGACCCAGCAGATTATATCATATCTATAGGACATAAATACTTGCCCATTGATGGTGTTGCCAAAGTCTGTCGTCCTACAAGCTGGGCAGGACCAAGTCCATCCAGAAAATCACTGAACTGGCTGTCTGCAGCCAACCTCACACCAGGGAAAATCAAACTAAAAAATTATATTTAAAAAAAAAAAAAAAAAACAAACACAAAAAACAAAATAAATACACGTGAATTTGCCCTTTTCTGTTTTCTAGATGTTTTGCATTTAGCATTTATGGTTTTGGTACTACTGCTCACAGGGAATTTATTTACAATGACAAGATTACAAAACAATAACTGTAATTTTCAAAACTTCACTGTGTTCAACAATCAGCACTTTGGCTTCCAGCATATAAACAGGGGAAGGAAGCACTAAACCTCACTAAGTCTAATTTCCACAGTAATATTATTCCATCATGCTCTCTCTTCCCAATATATTAATGACCACTGTTAATTATTTTAGTATTCATATGAAAACAGTTTAATAAGATACCAACACATGCCCTTACCAGTGATTTAGTTACATGAAGGTAAAATTGTTCGCGTTTCTCAGTCAACGTGAACTCAATGGCTGAATGTCAAATGTATCTAACAAAATTATTACATTAGACTGAATACTGGTCATTATGTTTAACATCACCTTTTAAAATCAGCATTCATTATAAACATTTTGTTAAGAATGTCTTTGATAATGACACCTATTCAATAGTGAAACAGAAATTCATTGTGGAAAATGACCAAAGTAAGTTAAAATTCAACGAGAACTAACAAAATTTGTAATGACCAACCATAAATAAATGTCCATCTCAAGTGCATACAGTACATCAACTTGGACATGTAAGATATATTGTTCAGTATAGGTGTATCATCCAGTGCTGTGAACAACCTTAATAAATCTATCCACACTAAGATTTTTCTGGGCAATGTCTTGGACACACCACTCAGAAGTCTTTAAGTTGGGCTTTTATGGAAAGCATGATATACAAGAGTCTCATACTTCTGTCCCAATCATTTCTTCAGGATTAATTAGTAAAACTCTTGAGCCCAGTGAATGACACCTGGAAATGCTCTGAAAATGCTTTGTTCTGAAAAGCACAGACGTATGCGAGGAGTTTCGTAAGAGAACCTGTCCTTTTCTGTGTTTTACCCAGTGCACTGCACCTGCTTGCCCTCCTGCCACACCGCACACTGGTGCTCTGACCACCAGGCACCTTCCTCACGCACGGCACAAATTATCCTCATCCTTCCTGCACCAGCAATGAGACACTCTTTTGGTCACACGGGAACACTCGGGCTTGGTCCATCAATGACACTAGCTTGCAAAGGGAGTTCTGATTGAACAGGACCTACAGTGCCCACCGCACTTTTGTCTAACCACCAGTTTCATGGAGAAACGTCAGGTAACCACAGTTGTCACTGCTGCTTACTTTCCCTCAGAGCTGTAGCTGTTCATGCTCCCATCCGTCGACTCCCGGCTGGCCTGACGGGTCATCCAGTTCCTCATCTCCACGGCCAGCCCTGTCTCAGTGCTCCTCTGGACGGTGCTCCGCAGCTTCTTGCCCCCTGCTTCTGCAGAGACAAAAGAGGAGCCCCCATCGCACCGCGCCGTCGCAGCTGGGCAGCCCTGCGGGGCACCGCTGCCAGCAGCACACCACCACTCCACGTGGCAGAAAACACAGAAACCTGGATCAAAACCTCCATTTAAAAATAACCTTTTTTTTTAATAATAGGCAAGAAGCATTGTAAATCTGTCTTACAGGACTTTAGTTCTGTCACCACCAGCTTTCCAGGGGCAGACAGCATAACCTCAACACAAGTCTGCCCATGGAGGTAACCAGATTTACACTGTCCATAGTCTAGTGTGTTTAAAATATGTTTTCGCTAGATGAATACTTCCCTCTTAGGAATTAAATTAAAATGGTACCATTATGTCAAAACCTCTGTCTGAGGAATGTTCTAATTCAGATGAATTATTTGATGTAAAAATATTTGGTCATTGTCTGCCAAATCAAGTTACAGATATCCATTAGTGAAGATAGTAAACAATAAATCAAGAACCCTTCTCATTCTTCCCTCTCTACTCAATGCTCTTCTTGTTTCACCAGCTGCTTTAACTTTATATCTAAAAAATACAGTATTGACTTTTATGCACAATACAAAACTTTATTAATGACTCCAAGAGTAATTTTAGTTGTAAAAACAGTGAAGTGACAGAGAGCTGAGTATCAGACAAAGGAAAAAATACTCAAAACTTAATACAGCAGCATTCTAGTGTATGAATTTTGAACATGACCTCAACTGAAAGATATACTGAAAGCACCACCAAAAAAAAGGAAAAGAAATGAGTAGGAATGAAGCTTCAATATTTCTTTCATGAATAAGACAGTCACTCCATGTAATTTCTGACTTTAAGTGCTGTTCCCTGCAAGGGGACAGGGAATTTTGTATTAAAATTTCTTTTATCTGTTCAATACCCCCCTGACTTCAGCACAGTGTTGTGTGATATTCTGATAATATTATAAAAGAGCAATAGTTCTAAATGTACATGACACAAAATAACATCAGAATTCTTAAATGTTGACACAATGAGGGCAGAATAATATCCAATGCCCTAGGGTATCTAGGGACTCGCCTTTTTCTGCAGTTGTTTGTGGCCTATGCCATCCTCTACACCTTCTTTGGCTCATCATGTACCAGAGGTCAGAAGAACTGCTGGACCTGGGGGGTCAGTGAAGCTCTAGGGATTTGAGAGAGAGAGGAGAGATTGTCCTGGGAGAAGGACTCTCAAAGCCCAAGAAGAACATGGGAGCACGGAGGCTGGCTTAGAGTAAGAGGACCTGCACCCTCAGGCAGGGAAGAGGAGAGGGACATTGATTTCAGTGTCCACACCCAGTGTCACTCTCTCCTACAGGCTGCAGGGTGGGTTGGTCTCCCAGGCCCTCCAGTCTGCAGGGATATTAAGTCAGATAAAGAACATGGGAATTTTGGCATAGTGGAAAATAGGCACCTAAACACCCGGAAACCCACTGGCCCCTTGTCAAGAAAAATGAGTAACTTCGCAATATTTAGCAGTAGTGAGACATTTCTATACCAATATCATGAGTGGTTCAAATTATATTGCTTATTACAAGCTGTCTATGCATTCCTTAAGACCATAACTTTTAATCAGTATATAAAAATAACAGAAGTAATAATTTTCCTCTAGAACTTCAGCTACCCATATGAATTTAGTACCCAACAGAGTGAAATAATTTTTTTACTATGTCAAAACTACTTCTGAATATGCCCATCAATATCTGGTGCAATAAATACAAATAAAAAAGATACAAGACTAACATGACATACGAAAAATGAAGGGCAGAAGTCAACAATTTCATTTCTATTGGGTTGTATTGTTCCAAGTGTCTGCTGACTTTATTATTTATATTAAACTAATGAAAGCTGGCAGATGACTTCCAACACTGGTCCAGAGTTGTTCTAAAATCCAATCACTCATATCAAAGAAATATTCCCACAAAACTGCCAGGAAAAATTCATGCTATAGTTTTGTAGAAAAGGTACTTTGCATTATAGTTATATGTGAAAGGCACACAACTCCTGCAGCCCCATGCTCTTTTTATTCAAGTATTGTTACAGGATATTATTATTCTGTTGTAAGAGGTCTTTGGTTAGTAAGCATTCATTTTCGTTCAGCCTTGCTGAATGGCAGTCATTCTCGGTTCATTGTTGAAAACATGAATTCTCTCATGTAAATTTAACAGAACATCTCCATCTTGCATGATTATTCAATCTCTTTGTATTATCTTTCAAAGATTTTCGGGTTTGGAATAAATATGTGTTTGAATATGTGATATGTGAAGGAGTATATAATAATTTTTATTAGTTAGCAAGGCATATTTTTTTCTGAATTAGTATTACAAACCTCTCTGACTTCACTCTAGCAGAACACTTACAGAAAAAAATAAACACATCTATTGCACATCAATTTACTAAGAAATCAGGACAGAACTGGTGCAATTGCCTTCAAGTTTTCTGAGGCACATATGTAGCCGTTCTTAGTATCTCTCCGAATCTTATTTTTAAGCAGTTTTATTTTCCCGCATTAGTTTTAACTGAAATAAGCACTCTGGTTCACATGATGACAGGCCAACAGCTGAGAAGATACAACTCTGATACAACATGAGAATTAGGCATGAATAGCATATCTAGCTTTTGTGTAAGTACAGGTGCTAAACAGTAACTATTTGACCATAACACTGAATTAAAGGAGGGTTGAAAGGAGGCTATGTGAGTAACTATTTTTCAGTTTTCAACAGAAACAGGCAGAGCTCTCTGATGGTGTCAAAGAGAAAGATCTGACCTTTCAGCAAAAAGGGTCCTAATCATGATGTTGATGCTCCTTAAAATAAGAATTGAAGATTTTAACAGCAAAATGGCAATTTGGGCCAGAAGTACAGAAGAAGACCCAAATCACAGGCATGACTTCTGAGCCACTGCTTTAGAGATGAATACTCTTTCAGATTAAGTTTAGCTAAACTAATACATAATAATACACGAGAAATACCTACACTTAATTGCCCACAATACTAGCAATACATTGGTCCCTGCAAAAATGTAGTAAATCATAAATAATCCCACAATTCCTCAAACAATTGAAAAGAAAAACCAGTATTTACATAATCTATAAATTGTGTTTTATAAATTAATCATTAAAACACTGAAAAGTTTGCAAGTAGCAATGAAAATGCAAAGTAATTACTCGACTCAGAGAAATACCCTTTGGTGCCATACTTCCAAGCTGCAGTTGGTACAAGATCTGGCTGAAGGTCTTACCACTCTAGTAAATCCAAACCATTTTCCCTCATTCCTTCCTGGAAATGAAAACCTCCTCTGTTGTGCTAATTTGACTACTTGTGTGGCTGCATTTTGTACTGGACCCAACCCAAAAGGAACAAACCGACAATATGTTTTAAAGTTGTTCTTTTTCTTTTAAGATGGATCATTTCCCAAAAAATCTACGAAAACAGACAAACAGTTGAACAAACCAAATAGAGGTGATGCTAATCTCTAGCTAGATTAATAATTTGGGAATGCATCTGACACTAACACAGAAGTGAATATGTAACTGGTGTCACTGTAAAAGCGGGGGTTGGTTTTACAAAGTATATATACATACACACTCACCTCATGCACGCTGTTTTTAATCCTACCAAATTAAAGGATCCAAAACAAGAGAGTTTAGTAGCGTGCTTTGTTGCTAAGTATGTTATTGACCACCTACACTGAAAATCATTTTACTCACAATTCACCAAACTCTAATAAAGAACACAGAGAATGTTCTCCAAAGTAGTGTAATCCAATTGCCCTAGAAATAAGAAATTTCTCTCAAGTCCCCATCATAAAATATGGAATATATTATCTGAAAAACACTAGTTCAGATTCTTGCAGCCATATTGTAAGGAGTGGAATAATTTACCAGAAATAATTGCTTTGGCATTTATGAAAGCACATTCATTCGTACAGTTAATCACACTGGTAATTTAACTAATATGGTTACTGCAAATAGACTCCACAGGCCACATTTTCTAAATTACACATGGAAATATTTGTTCCCACAACTTGGAGTGCAAATCACTTGCAAATTAGGGGTGCAAAACTACTGATACGATCTTCAATATCAGATGAGGACAAGTCAAAAACTGCAGTGAATGCATCAGATAACCTTCCGTGACCTGGGATCTAGCCAGATGAAATCTGCCTCCGGTGGGAAGAGCGAGAGCTCTCTGCTCGCTCTCGGGAAGCGCCTCCAACAACTGCTCAGCACCAGCACAGAGCCCCGCGCGAGGCCACCGCCGGCAGAGGCAGAGGCAGAGGCAGAGGCAGAGGCAGAGGCAGAGGCAGAGGCAGAGGCAGAGGCAGAGGCAGAGGCGGGCTGGCTGTGACAGTCCCCAGGGGGTACCTGAACTCTTGGTGGGACTTGTACTGAGCACGGAGCAGCTGGGGCTTCAGAAACGCGCTCAAGTGCTTGAGGTGGCTCTTCTCTGCCCTCCCCACCTCACCCAAAAGGCCGCAAAAAAAAACGTTTCAATGTTTTCATTTGAACTCAGGAGTTAGGTCCACAAAGAGAATAGCTGCATTTAAGGTGACTATTTTTCAAGAGTAAAGCTCTTTACATGTCTAGATATCTGCTCTGGGCATTACAGACTCTATAAAATCATCAGAGATGGTCTAGGAACATTTGATCCTACCTACGAAAAGGGGGACATGGTCAGGTCTCAAATTCCCTTGCAGCCACACAGTTCTCTGTGGAACAGCCCAGGTTTTGGCTGCACTGAACGAGGCATATAGCTCTTGTTGAAGCACTGCTGGGGACCACAGCTGAGTTGTTTCTTTCCTTGTGTCACCCACAGACTCCGAGCAGCAGACATGGGCTAGGATCTAATTTAAGCAGGATTTGTGAAACCCAGATTCCACCGTCACCTCTGTTTAAGAAGCTCTGAGCCTATCTCCCTGATTCCCAGAGGCCAGTGCTGATGATCAGCTTATGAAACATTGTGCTGCAGTTCTTC